ATAATACAGATGTATATCAACGCATCCCGTGACGTTACTCAGAAAAAAACACCAGAATAATATGCAGTGTGAGGGACCTCTAAAAAAAACTGACCACAACCCCCCCCCCCCCCCAAAGTACAACATATACATAGAACATGGCCATACTAAGACCAAATAAAATACCAACATACATAGAACATGGCCATACTAATGTGGGTGGAATAAAGTACTAATATACAAGAACATGGTTGTCAGCGAACTAGCGAGCCGTACTAAACTAAATAAAATACCAACATACATAGAACAAGGCTGTATTAAGCATATTAACACACAAAGGCCGAATAAAATGCCAACTTTCTGAAAAAATGGCAATATTTAGCATATCAATAACGTTTTTTAAAGGCTGGAAAATGCTAACATATCTCGCGAACATATGGCCGTGCTAACAATACATATTGCTCTGTTGTACTTTGTTATAACACTTGTCTCACTTACCTCCAAGCAATTTGGTTTTCGACCTAAGCTATCAACTAACACAGCCTTGACACACTTTACAGATAACGTACTTCTGAAGATAGACTCTGGTCGTCTTACAGGGGCTGTTTTCTTGGATGATTCTCTTGAAAGTGATCGACACAGTTGACCACAACCTTTTACTTTATAAGCTTAAATTGGTCAGACTCTCAGATGACATTGTTAATTGGTTCCAGTCATACCTCACAAACAGAAAACAACGGACATCTGTTGGGGTCTCATCAGGAAGTATACTAGGACTGCTTCTTTTTCTTATCTATGTGAATGATTTACCATTGTGTCAGCTTGCCAGTGAAATTATTCTTTATGCTGATGACAGTGTAATTTATTACTCATCAACTGATCTGTTGACCTAGAAAGCAAGTTAAATTCTGATTTGGCTACAGCTTCCAATTGGTTTTCGAGTAATCTGTTGACCCTAAGTATTTCTAAATGCAATTTCGTAATTTTTGGCAGCTCACGGAAGCTTAAACTGGTTAATGACGTTTCTCAAAGTAAACTCGACTGCTACTGAAAGGTCTGACTCGTGTAAGTACTTGGGAGTTATAATAAACCAAACAATGTCCTGGTCCGAGCACATTGATACTATCAGTACAAAGACCAATCAAAGGATTGGAATGATAAAGAAAATACGACATCTTTTGCCTTTACCTGCTAAGCTAATACTATACAATTGCTTAATCATCCCACCGTTTGACTATGGAGACAGTGTGGGGTGACAAAAATAAAGAAACGCTTATGGGTCAGCTGCAAGTTCTTCAAAACAAGGCAGCCAAGGTTCTGCTTAATTTACCACCAAGAAGTTCATCAACCGAGACACCAGATTGATTGGACCTAAAGACCCTCTCAAAGAGACGACACTTCCACCCTGTGTTATGATGCAAAAATATCTGTCCGGGGAAATTGATTTTAAATGACATCTGGCGTAGTAGTAGTCTTCATTCTTATCAAACTCGCAGAAGCAAGGATTTACACCTTCCTCATGTGCACACCAATTGGGGCAAGCAAACTTTCATTTTTCAAGCCTCTAAGGACTGGAAAAACCTAGACAATGACATTGAAAACAGCAAATCATTGTCGTTCTTTAAGGCAAAGCTTAAAACTTTGTAAATAATGCCCTATTTAATTTTTTAACTATATTATATGTAGATATCAATTTTTATCTCTTTTGTTAGCTTTTATTTTTAAAGTAGGTGATTTTTTGTTGTCATTTTGTCATCTAGGATTTGTAGGGCCCTACTGAAAACCGCTAAGGCGAGTGGGCTCCCTCGATAAATATTATTGTTAGTTATTATTAGTATTTTGTACTAAAATAAGCTGTTGCACTTTGCAATAAACTTGAAATGCGTGGTCAGAGGACAAGTACCCAATAATAAGTATATCATCATTGGCAACAACAACAACTTGTTGCAGATTGGTGCAACTTGGTGCAGATTCATGCGGTTTGGTGCACACTGGTGCAGCTTGGGGCAACTTGGTTGCAGATTGGTGTAGTTTGGTGCAACCTGGTGGAGTTTGCTGCCTTTTTGTGGAGTCTGGTGCAACTTTGTCCAGATTATCATAACTTTGTAATTTGGTGCAGTTTGCAGCATGTTAGTGTAGTTTGGTATAGATTGGTGTAGTTGGGTGCACATTGGTGCAATGTGGTTCAGATTGGTGTAGTTTGGTACACTTTGGTGGAGATTGGTGTAGCTTGCTGCAACTTAGTGCAAATTGGTGCAGTTTGGTGTAACTCAGTGCCCTTTGCTGCAGTTTGGTGGAACTTGGTGCACATTGGTGCAGTTTGATACAACTTGGTGCCCTTTGGTGTAGATTATTGTAGTTTGCTGGAACTTACTGCAGATTGGTGCAGTTTGGTGCAACTTAATGCATTTTGGTGCCCTTTGGTGCGGATTGGTGCAGTTTGGTGCAACTTAGTGTAATTTGGTGCAGAATGGTGCAGTTTGCTGCATGATGGTGTAATTTGGTGCAGCTCAGGGCAACTAGGTGCAGATTGGTGTAGTCTGGTAAAACTTAGCGCAGTTCGCTGCCCTTTGGTGTAGTCTGTTGCAACTTTGTGCAGATTGATGCAGTTTAATGCAACTTGATGTAATTTGGTGCATATTGGTCCAGTTTGCTACACATAGGTGTAGTTTGGTGCACATTGATCCACTTTGGTGCAGACTGGTGCACTTTGGAGCAGTGTGGCGCAGTTTGGTAAAACTTGGTGCAGTTTGGTGAAACTTTGTGCAGATTTGTGCAACTTGGTGAAGACTGGTGCAGTTTGTTGCAGTTTGGTGCAACTTAGTGCAAATTGGTCCAGTTTGGTGCAACTTAGTGTAATTTGGCGAGGAATGGTGCAGTTTCATGTGACTTGGTGGAGTTTGGTGCACTTTGATGCAACTTGGTGTAGTTTGGTGCAACTCGGTGCAGATTGGTGCACCTTGGTGCAGTTTGGAGCAACTTGGTGAGGTTTGGTGCAGATCGGTGCGGTTAATGCAATTTGGTGCAACTTGGTGCCGTCTGGTGCAAATTGGTAGAACTTGGTACAGTTTGGTGAAACTTCGTGCAGATTGGTGCAGTTTGGAGCAACTTGGGGAGTTTGGTGGAACTTGGTGCAGTTTAGTGCAAATTGGTGCAACTTGCTGCCTTATGTGCAGATTGGTGCAACTTGGTGCCCTCTGGTGCAGTTTGGTGAAACTTGGTACAACTTGGTGCAGTTTGGTGCAACTTGGTGCAGTTTGGAGCAACTTGGCGAGGTTTAGTGCAGATTGGTGCAGTTTGATGCAATTTCGTGCAACTTGGTGCCCTCTGGTGCTGATTGGTGCAACTTGGTGCCCTCTTGTACAGATTGGTGGAACTTGGTACAACTTGGTGTAACTTGGTGCAGTTTGGAGCAACTTAGCGGAGTTTGGTGCAGTTTAATACAATTTGGTGCCGATTGGTGCAACTTGGTGCTTTTTGGTACAGATTAGTGTAACTTGGTGCCCTCTGGTGCTGATTGGTGCAACTTGGTGCCCTCTGGTGCAGAATGGTGGAACTTGGTACAACTTGGTGCAGTTTGGAGCAACTTGGTGAGGTTTCGTGCAGATTGCTGAGGTTTGATGGAATTTTGTGCAGTTTGGTGCGACTTGGTGCTTTTTCGTGCAGATTGGTGCAACTTGGCACTCTCTGGTGCAGATTGGTGCAACGTGGTGCCCTCCGGTACAGATTGGTGGAACTTCTTGGTGTAGTTTGGTGTAACTTGGTGCAGTTTGGAGCAACTTGGTGGCGTTTGGTGCAGACAGGTGCGGTTTGATACAACTTGCTGCAGTTTGGTGTATATTGGTGCAGGTTAGTGGAACTTGGTGTAGATTGGTACAGTTTGGTGCAACTTAGTGGAGTTTGGTGCAGATTGGTGCGGTTTCATGCAATTTGGTGAAACTTAGTGCTTTTTGTGCAGATTTGTGCAACGTGGTGCCCTCTGGTACAGTTTGATGGAACTTGGTACTACTTGGTGCAGTTTGGAGCAACTTAATGGAATTTGGTGCAGTTTGATGCAATTTGGTGCAGATTGGCGCAACCTTGTGCAGGTTGGTGCAACTTGGTGCTTTTTGGTGCAGTTTGGTGGAACTTGGTGCAGATTGGAGCATCTTGGTGGAGTTTGGTGCAGATTGGTGTACTTTGGTGCAACTTGGTGCCCTTTGGGGCAGATTGGTGCTTTTTGGTGCAGATTGTTGCAACGTGGTGCTTTTTGATGCAGACTGGTGCAGTTTGGTGGAACTTTGTGCAGATTGGTTTAGTGGAACTTGGTGCAGATTGGGAGTCTGGTGCAATTTTGTGTAGATTAGTGGAACTTGGTGCAACTTAGTGCAATTTGGTGCACATTGTTGCAACTTGGTGCTTTTTGGTGCAGATTGGTGGAACTTGGTGCAGTTTGATACAACGTGGGTGCCCTTTGGTGCAGTTTAGTGGAACGTGGTGCAGACTGGTGCAGTTTGGTGGAACTTGTTAACATGTTGCAGTTTGGTGCACCTTGGTGAGATTGGTGCAACCTGGGTGCCCTTTGACGCAGCTTGGTGCGGTTTAGTGGAACTTGGTACAGATTGGCGTAATTTGGTGCCGATTACTGCACTTTGGTGCAGATTGGTGCAACTTGGTACTACTTGGTGCAGTTTGGTGTAACTTGGTGTAGTTTGGAGCAACTTGGTGGAGTTTGGTGCAGAATGGTGTGGTTTGATGCAATTTGGTGCAGTTTAGTGGAACTTGTTGTGGATTGGTGCAGTTTGGTGCAGATTGGTGTGGTTTCATGCAATTTGGTGAAACTTGGTACTTTTTGTGCAGATTGGTGCAACGTGGTGCCCTCGGGTACAGTTTGGTGCAACTTGGTGCCCTTTGGTGCAGTTCTTGCGCGTTTTGGTGCAGTTTAGTGGAACTTGGTGCGGATTGGTGCAGATTGTTGCAACTTGGTGCTTTTGGTGCAGTTTGGTGGAACTTGGTGGAGATTGGTGGTGTTTGGTGCACTTTAGTGCAACTTGGTGCAGATTGGTACAACTTGGGTGCTCTTTCGTGCAGATTGGTGCGGTTTAGTGGAACTTGGTGCAGATTGGTAGAGTCTGGCGCAATTTGGTGGAGTTTGGTGCACATTGTTGCAACTTGGTGCTTTTTGGTGCAGATTGGTACAGTTTGGTACAACTTGAGTGCCGTTAGGTGCAGTTTAGTGCAACTTGGTGCAGACTGGTGCAACTTAGTGCACCTTGGTGCAGATTGGTACAACTTGGGTGCCCTCTGGTGCAGATTGGTGCGGTTTAGTGGAACTTGGTGCAGATTGGTGGAGTTTGGGGCAGATTAGTGGAGTTTGGTGGAGATTGGTGCGGTTTCATACAATTTGGTGTAGTTTGGTGAAACTTCATGCAGCTTGGTGCAGTTTGGTGCTTTTTGGTGCAGACTGGTGCAACATGGTGCCCTCTGGTACAGTTTGGTGGAGCTTGGTACAACTTGGTGCAGTTTGGTGTAACTTGGTGCAGTTTGGAGCAACTTGGTGCAGTTTGGTGCAGATTGGTGCGGTTTGATGCAATTTGGTGCAAGTTGGTGCAGATTGGTACGGTTTAGTGGGACTTGGTGCAGATTGGTGCAGTTTGGTACGACTTAGTGGAGTTTGGTGCAGATTGGTGTGGTTTCATGCAATTTGCTGAAACTTGGTGATTTTGGGCAACGTGGTGCCCTCTGGTACAGTTTGGTTGAGCTTGGTACTACTTGGTGCAGTTTGGAGCAACTTGGTGCAGGTTGATGCAATTTGGTGCAGATTGGTGGAACTTGGTGCAGTTGGTGCAACTTGGTGCAGTTTGGTGTAACTTGGTGCAGTTTAGTGCAACTTGGTGCAGTTTGGAGCAACTTGGAGGAGTTTGGTGCAAATTGGTGCCTTATGTGCAGATTGATGCAGTTTGGTGGAACTTGGTGGAGATTGGAGCAACTTGGTGGAGTTTGGTGCGGATTGGTGTACTTTGGTGCAACTTGGTGCCCTCTGGTGCAGCTCTAGTGCTTTTTGGTGCAGATGGGTGCTGTTTAATGGAACTTGGTGCGAATTGGTGCACTTTGGTGCAGATTGGTGCTTTTTGTTGTGGTTTAATGGAACTTGGTGCGGATTGGTGCAACTTGGAGCAGATTGGTGGTGTTTGGTGCAACTTGGTGCAGATTTTTACAACCTGGGTGCCCTTTCGTGTAGATTGGTACGGTTTAGTGGACCTTGGTGCAATTTGGCGCAGATTGGTTGAACTTGGTGCAGTTTGGTGGAACTTGGTGGAGTTTGGTGCAGATTGTTGCAACTTGGTGCTATTTGGTGCAGTTTGGTGGAACTTGGTGCAGTCTGGTGCAGATTGGTACAACTTGGGTGCCCTTTGGTGCAGTTTAGTGGAACTTGGTGCACACTGGTGTAGTTTGGTGCAACTTGGTGCAGATTAGTACAATTTGGGTGCCATTTGGTGCAGTTTAGCGGAACGTGGTGCGGATTGATGCAATTTGGTGCAGATTACTGCACTTTGGTGCAACTTGGTGTCCTCTGGTGCAGCTTGGTGGAACTTGAGGCAGGTTGGTACAATTTGGGTGCCCTTTGGTGCGGTTTAGCGGAACTTGGTGGAGATTGGTGGATTTTGGTTCAGATTAATGCACTTTGGTGCAGCTTGGTGCAGACTGGTTCAAGTTGGTGCCCTCTGGTGTAGTTTGATGGAACTTGGTGCAGTTTTGAGCAACTTGATGGAGTTTGGTGCAGATTGGTACGGTTTTATGCAACTTGGTTCAGATTGGTGGAACTTGGTTCAGTTTGGTGCAGCTTGGTGCTTTTTGGAGCAGTTTGGTGGAACTTGGTGCACTTTGGTCAGGGTGTAAGGAAAGTCAGTTTTTTATTTACTAGCCTGAAGGTCATTTTTAGTAGCCCAGAAAAAATTTTTGGCGAGCAGAATAATAAAAAAAATAGTTATTCCCTTCTTAATTACACTGTAAGTTCATAAATTACTGGCTTTATTTATTCGTTGTCATCAGCTTTAGTTTTTCAACAACAGCAATAAATAACCGTAAAAGTGTGAACTATAAGTAGACCTGGTAAGATACTCTTGACACACTAGTACAATAATTCAGTGTTCACCTTTTGATTATAAATGCTTTTGTCTTGAAAGTCAACTCACAATGATGAAATAAGGAATTTCAGTGAAGCTAATGGAATGAAGGTCCAAATAATAGACAAACGTTTCTCTTTGAACACAATGCTAAAAACTACATATTACTGGTTAACCTCTTGTGAAAATGTCCATGCTAAATAGAAGTTCATGCTGTATTTACAACCAGTTCAAATACTCTCATTACCTTGTGAAATCATGACAAGGTAAAACAGGCTACTTGACGCTAATAGAACGCTCTTACAAAGCTACAACTGATGTGTATGTAAGAATCTCTGCCAACTCGATTTACAACAATACTGCAAGATTACAAAAGGCTACTTGATGCTAATAGAATGGTCATACAAAGCTAGAGGTGATGTGCATGTGAGAATCTCAGCAAAGTCGATTTACAACAGTACTGTGCTTAAGATATGGCAATATGCGCAGTAAACGTTCTACAACCACGAGTTTAATCACTTTTTACAGTATGTCTCTTTGCCTTTGCATCCAAAATCCAGTGGGAAATGGCAGGACCACAATAGTATTTCTTGGTGGAAACATCAGAGGAACGAACCCTCATTAAAACTACCAGGCTTCCTTGTGAGATTCGTGTACGTACATTACTCTTAAGCTGGTTCATCGCCGAGAACCTCCTTGCACACCTGGCTGTGGATGGTGACAATGTCATCATAAGCTCTACAAGTACGAGGCAGTCTTTCACGTCATCAGGTTTTGACACTAGAAGGTTTGCAAATACATCAACTGGATTGTTTGCCCTTTGTCTGCTGAGTCTGGTACGCAGCATCGGCCACTGATCAAGGATGCTTTCCTTCTCTTTCGCAGTAAGGAGGTACCCAAAGTACTGAACAAGGGAACGAATTTCATTATGCCCATAGGCTGCGAGGGTCTGAGGCATCTCTCGTGGTTCGAATATTCTGAACAAACTGCAGGGTTTCTCCTGAAGATTTCCAAACCTTGCCTTCAAATAAGTCATGACTTCCGTAAAAAAAGTGACAAACTGTTGATCAAGCATGTTGCCTGCATGTGTCAGTTTTAGTTGGTGTCCTTTGTCCTTGCCACAGATCAAGACTGCTGTTTCCTCAGAATAACTCTCCATAAACGTTCTGTAATGACCTCCCCTTTGGAGCTTCAACTCTTCTTACATGGTCACAATCGTCTCTAGTTTTGCAACTATGTCTGTTATGCAAAGTTTATCGTGTTGGAATGATTTACTAAGCTCTGACAAAATCTCCATCACATCCAACAAGAGGTACCAGTGTTTGCCAAACCTCTCGGACAGTAATTGTTTCAGAATTCCTTTGGCACGTGCCCCATCTTCACCAGTGGATTCAGTTTTATGCTGCAGGTGCATAATAGTAGTGACATTCTGCAGACCGCTGTAACAGACCGCATCTTCATCGATTATATTGGCAATCTCATTAACCTCTCTGCGTTGTTTTGGAGAATAATAATAAAACTTGTATACCTCTTTAACTGTATCCTCAAATGTAAGGGCACCTCTTCACAGCATCAAGTACAGCCAGTTCCAGTTTGTGAGCTACACAGATATGATGCATAGTGGGTGACCAACTGTATCCTCCAGCTTCTTACTCACACCATCCTTGGCCCATCAAAATTGCAGACTACTAACTTTCAACTCAACACACTTTCATCAACCTGTACAGCTTCAAGTCCTTTATTAATAGCATTTGTTATACCACTAGGATCGGCAGACTGAAGGCAGACAAGGTCAGAAAACTGTGTCGATGGTCTCCCATTTGAATCAGTATAACGTACAAAAACAGTCAAATGCTCTGTGACACTCTTGTCTGTGGCACTGTCTGCTAAAACACACGAAGACCTGGCATCCCTGATTTCCTTTGCATACCTTTCCTGTTCAATTGCAGCAATGCTGGACACAAACTCTTTACATTTCATTTCATTGCGATAATTATTTCCTACATCTAGACCATTCCTCTTTTGTAGATCACACAAACCCGTGAATTTTTTTAATGCGAGACCTTCCTTTGCTACATAATGAGCAGTATTGAACAATCCTTCCATTCTTGATTTGCTTTCTTCGTCCAGCTTTGCAGATATCGTCTTCATCATTGTTGCAAGGGGTTTGTCTGCATTTTCTTTGTCAACTTTCCATTTGTTCAAGCACTTTCCGTGGTCGCTAGATATGTCATGGTACTGGATTTATCACAAATGTTTGGATAAGCACGGCATACCTGAATGAAAATGTCAATTGTGAGCAGCTATAACAACAAACTGGTTTAGACAAATCCTCGTAACATGTTACACTCAATTGTGAAAACAATTATAGTTCTACTTGAAAGGTTATATATAACGCCTGATGGTAAGTTCCATAATTCATAAACAACTTTGTATTAAGAGTTTAACCAGAGGTTTCGTATGGTAGAGGTTAGCCGTACGTTAGTCTACAGTATTTTACAGTACTGAAATGTAGTCTATACTTTGTGATGGTGCCTTTGATTATTAAAACTTGTGCAAGCTTGACCTAAAACAAGACTGACTGAAATCAAATTCTTTTGTTGCACTTCACATACCTTGCAAAACATTAAATCTTTGATGGAATCATGCTTAACCCAAGGATACACTTCTTTCCAGTGGGCCTGAAAGATGCGCTGCCTCTTTATTTCACACTTATCTTTCATTGTTTTGTCATTCCTTTCTTTTCCTTCTGGTGAAGCTTTTAACTGTGCCTTCTCTTCATAAAATGACACATTTATTAGGCCCTTGCACATTGAAGAAGTGAGCCCTTGCACCCGCTGTGTAAGTGCTAATTGTCAGTGCAAATTAGTTGGTAAGCACAACAGCGGTCACAGACACTGGACAAAAGTCAGACATGCCTCGCAGTCCGGCACAAATGGTTCAATTTGATCAGGAAATTATGAAGCTTTTTTCGAGCTGATCTCTTAGAGAGGAAAAGGAGGTTTCCCTCTTGGGTTGGGGCTGAAAAAATTTGCCGCAGACTTGAATTTCGGCGAAAAGACGGCATTTTCGTTGCCACTGAAGTCCACATGAAGACAACTTACAATCCTATGAAAGCTACAAAATCATAACATCAAAGGCTCTGGGCACAATGCACGCTCAGCACTTCTTTATCACAGGAACGTCCAGGAACGATGGATTTATGACAATTGTTGTTTTCATATCGGGGCTTTTCGTGCCAGCCGACTAATTACGAAAGTGTCTACACCTGAGTGATACATTTGCATATCACAGTCCACACAATAACTTGTTCCTTACGCTACGTGTAATCTACGAGTTAAAAAAGTGTCAGAGCAAACTCGACTGTTTGATTTTTGAAATGCTTTTTATTTCTAAACTCAAACCAAAACTGAACAGAATGACTCAATCCGCGCGAAGCTATTTATTCAATTATTTCACTTTTAAATATCTTTTTATCGTTTTCATCGCCTTAGCGTTTCTTTCATCATTCACACTGTAATTTCCTCGTATTGTTTTTAGTCAGTATCTCATTAGCCTTTTCACAATTGCATATAAGCACATGCTAATTTTTTACTTCTGAACCTGAAAATGACCATCAAACGGGTCAAAATGTCCTTTTTTTTAATATTAATTTTTATAGTGAAATCTGTTTCTAAAATTAGTTGATTTGAAAAATTATATATAAATAAAAAACATACCCCTCTGTAGCTTTCACAATCTGTTGCACTTGTCTTTCGAATAACTCTTCATATGGCTCCTCAAGATCACCGTTCTAATGCAGATGAAAGAAACTTATACGGATGACTCCAGCAAAACACTCACAGGCAATACAAACAAGACTCTTTACTTAATCTATTAAACGACATACTCTTTTGCTGGTGTGACAGTGAAAGTCAACTGTGGTAACAATAACAATTTAACTTATAGAAAAAAGTCCTCAACGTGATCTTGTGCAAGATGCATTGAAGGGAAAGATCCCCGAACATTTCGATGTATTTAATTCTAAAACGAGCCAACAACATGGTTATGATACTCAAAATGGTGAACGGAACAAAACATATCAAAATGCAATTAATGATTGGGCCTCACTACCGAGTGAGCTCAAGAGACTAATGCCAAAAACGACTTTTAATTACAAACTAAAACAGCTTTTATTGAACCATAGTTCGTATTTTTATGTTAGTTTTACACGATTTTTAAACATGAACCGAAAACGTTTTTATAAAACAATTGACCTTAGTTAGTATTTTAACTTAAACCCTAGTTGTAGTATTAGTTTTTCGCCATTCTTTACTTTTATTTTAATGTATTTTTTACCTTTATTTAGAGGACCCTCCTGAAAACCACCATTAGGTGATTGGAGGCCTGCTTGTAAAACATTATTATTGAAGTTAATCGAGAAGAAATATCTACTTACTATAACTTGATCATGTCTGGCATCGACAAAGGGTCCCAGCTGAGAAAAAACAAACAAACAAACAAAAAATCACTCAAACAAACATTAGCATACATTACCAGTATTCAATAGTACATTTAATGGGTTATCAGAAATCTAGTGTGGAAAGGTCTTAAGTGCCCACTGAGAGATTTCTTTCATGAACTGAAGAACAAAATAATACTTCAAATCTTAAGGGAGATCGAGGTGTAAATTATAAGCAACAATCATACCAAAATAAGCAGATCTGGTTTATCATTTTGAACTGTTTTCATGAGGTCTGCAAGGGGTTCATAAGAAAGACTGTCTGAAGTTGTAAAAGGTCCAGCAGCTACCATCATTAAGAAAGGTTCTGAAAAGTCAACATACAAATGCTTTAAGAAATAATAAAAACAAACCATATAACAAACAAATAAAGTCATTAACAATTACAGAACTCATACAATACCTTTGCATATTCATTTGCTAGACATTTTTTCATGAATGGCTAGCTAAAGTTTATTTCGCATAGTAGAGAAACTTGCAGATGCAAGGAAAACTGCAAAGAGCTTTAAAAACTTTGAACCTTCCAAATTTCATGTTGTTGGTAGCATTTCAGTTTTATATGTGAAAATAATTTAATTTTAATAATTATTTCACATTAAAAAAAACATCACCATTGTAGTGTTTTAGGACCCAGATTCCTCTCAGTAATGCATGGAATGCCTGACTGTAGTGGTTGATAAGGACCACGAGTTGTGAAGGCAGAATAAAGCTAATCATTCAAGGTTCAATCCATTGCAATCCTTTGTTATTTACCGACTAGATTGGTCACAACATTGGCGATGACGGTAAAAAGAGACCTCAAGAAGTCAGTGAGATGAAAAGTTCATGAAAAACATGGACGATAATGAATGAAACCATATTACAACATTCGATTGTCATAGGGACGAAAACACGCTTGCTTTGCGATGAAAGCGGTGGTTGACAGCATTCGAACTATTTGCAGATGGCAAAGACTTAATTCTTAATGAAGACAACGTGAACAACAGGCATAGGAGACGTGCACTAATGCTCCATATCATGGGACCCAATGTTCAAGATATCTTCCTTAACCTCCCGAACATGGGAGATGTGAAGGATTACTGGAGAGCGGTACATGCACTGAATGCATACTTTGCTCCCAAAGTCGACACTACGTATGCTAGACACAAACAATCCAACAGTTTGCAACCAGACACAGACGAGCATCGAAATATTGTGACTATGGCGAAGACACAGATAACCAAATTTGGGATGAAATCCTCTGCAAGTGCACCAGCACTTACATAAAGCGAAAACTAGAGTGCTTGAAGTAGCCAAGAACTGCAACAAAGTTGACACACAGCTTGCTGCAATGACCATAGAAGGAAAAGCGGAGATTTCAGCTAGTGTAAACTGCACGGAGGGAACAAAGAGAGGCCATGGCAAAAATCAGTCACAAGGTACCAACAACACCAAGCACGAGAAAACTTGGGCGCTTTCCATTTTAGTCAAAATTTCCGGAATTTCCGGTTCGGCGGTAAATGGAACCCGTTTCGTCGGTTCGTCCCACTGGAAAATTCCCAGAAAAAGTGGAAAAACTAAAAAGGTGGTCCCGTTTTCCCGGTTGGAATTTCCGAACGGAATGTCGTGTTCCATTTACGTTTCTCGTAGTTTGTACCAGTTCCAGGTCCACGGTCGGGCACCGCCACGTACCGGGGTTTACGACCAAATGGAACAACTTTTTACCAATCGGAAATTCCACTTTTCCTACCACCGAAATTTCCGTTTTTTTTTTTCCTAAATGGAAAGTGCCCCTTGTTACCAATGTGGTAGAACCGGACATTTTGGTTGTGATTCCAACTGTCCAGCAAGAGGTCATTTCTGTCATCGATGTGGGCTGGAAGGATATTTTCAAGAGCAGTGCAAGACAAAGCAGAAAGGTGAAGCAAGGCAAAAGCAAACAAAAAGGCCACAGGAACCCCGAGGGAGGTGCTGCAAATATGGTTGGTTGCCACGACAAAGAAGAGCAACCATTATATGCATTTGCGGTAGGAGACAGGAATGAGGAGAAAATTGAAGTGACGGTTGGAGGTTGTAAGCTGAACATGATCACAGATTCTGGAGCAAGCACTAAGAAAAACAAAGTGAAGGGTGAATCAGCTCGCTCGAGTAGGAAACTATGCCTATGCATCTAAGACACCACTGGATGTGATAGGAACATTCTCCTGTGAAGTCTCTGCAGGAAGCAACACTGCTAGTGCTAATGTTTGTGTGATCAATGGTGAGGGAGACCCCCTTCTAGGGAAGGACACTGCAACTAGTCTAGGCGTACTGAAGATAGGGATAGGCATTGCTGCAGTAAGTGCAGACCCAAAGACCATTGGTGGGATCCTGCAACAGAACTACCCAAATGTTTTCAGTGGCATTGGAAAGTTGAAAGACCAAGAAGTACAACTCCACATCTACCTCAAAGTGAAGCCAGTAGCAAAGCCGATGTGGAGGACTCTGTTCAGCATGAGATCAAAGTTGAAAGAAAAGATTAAAGAAATCATTGAACTAGACATTACTGAACCTGCACTAGGGCTCACACCATGGGTTAACCCAGTTGTTGTTGTCCCAAAGTCTGGGGGTGACATCCGTCTGTGCATTGACATGCAAATGGCTAACGAGGGAGTATGGAGAGCCAGACAACCAATCCCTAATGTTGATGAGATTACTCACAGCATAAGTGGCAGTAAGGTATTCTCCAAACTTGACCTTAAGTGGGGATACCACCAGCTCAAACTTTCCCCAGAATCCCAAGAGATTACAACGTTTGCTACCCACTGTGCTCTGTTCAGATACAAGAGACTATTGTTTGGTGTTAACTCTGCTTCCGAATAGTATCAGTACGAGATCCAGACAGCACTTGCAGGTATAGAAGGGCAAGAGAACATTTCAGATGGCATTATCGTACATTGTAAACACCAGGAAGAGCACGATTTGCAGTTGGAGAAAGTCATTGTGAGATTAAAGGAACGTGGAGTGACTATCAATGCAGAAAAGTGCCAGTTTATGATGGATAAGCTCACATTCTTTGGCATGGTATTGTCTGTGAACGGACTCAGCTGTACAGGACAAAAAGTTAAAGCCGTGAAAGAGGTGCGAGAACCTCGGACAGTATCAGAAACCTGAAGTTTTCTTGGGCTTGTAAGCTACTGTGGCTGCTTCATAGCTGACCTGGCAATGGTCTCTGAGCCTTTACGTCACCTGACAAAGTCAGGAACTCCCTTCGTGTTTGGAGGTGAACAGAAGAAGGCCTTTCAGGGGCTAAAAGAGCAGTTGGCTCCTGCTGAGACTTTGGGGTACTTCGACAAGGATACCCCAACCCAAGTGATTGCCAATGCCAGCCCAGTTGGACTGGGAGCAGTACTGACCCAAAAGCAGAAGAATGGACCAAGAGTCGTCTGCTATGCAAGTCGTAGTCTGACAGATACAGAGAGAAGATATTCGCAGACAGAGAAAGAGGTGCTGGCGCTCATATGGGCCTGTGAAAAGTTCCATCCCTATGTGTAGGGCATGCCATTTGATCTCATTACAGATCACAAGCCACTGGAAGTTATTTACAGCCCAAGGTAAAACCCTGCACACGCATTGAAAGATGGGTGTTACAAATGCAGCCATACAAATTCAAGGTCAAGTATGAGCCTGGGCCGAGCAACATTGCTGACCTCCTCTCAAGGCTAGTGGGAAATCTCAAAACCAGTAGCAGTCACTGAAGCTGAAGCTGAAGAATATGTCAGATTTGCAGCTATAAATGCGACCCCCTGTGCTATGACTACTCGAGAAGTGGAACAAGCCTCAGCAATTGATGAAGAACTCTGTGCAGTCAAGGAATGCTTAAACGGAAAACCGTGGGATCACCTAGCTTACAAGAAATACCTCCCACATAGTAGTGAACTGTGCAGCATTGGACAGTTGATACTAAGAGGGACAAGAATCGTTATCCCGAAGAAACTCAGACCCAGGGTGTTGTCCCTCACTAGCGAAGGTCATCTGGACATGGTTGGAACCAAACAGAAGTTGTGCAGTAAAGTGCGGTGGCCTGGGATGGAAAAGGATGCTGAAACACACTGCAAAACCGGCTATGGATGGCAGTTAGTCAGCCGTCCCAGCCCATCAGAGCCTATAAGGAGTACAGCATTGCCAACTGGACCATGGAGAGATTTGGCAATTGATTTGCTCAGACCACTCCCTACCGGTGAGTCCATTCTGCTCGTTGTGGACTACGAGATAGCCATTATGAGATCCACAGTTGCCTCTAACTTCATCTGGAGTCTAGAAGAGATATTTGTAAGAAATGGTCTACCTGCAAGCCTGACATCTGACAATGCACCACATTTTGTATCAACAGAGTTTACAGGGTACATGGAGCAGCAAGGAATCAGACACCACAGAGTTACTGCAAAATAACCCCACGCAAATGGAGAAGTTGAGCGGAAGTTGAGCACCAAAATAGTTCACTTCTGAAAAGGCTGCAAATCGCACATGCTGAAAAGAAGGACTGGAAGGAAGACCTGAATGTTTATCTTGCAGCGTACAGAAGCCTACCTCACTCACAACTGGTGTAAGCCCTGCCCAGTTGCTCTTCGGACTGAAAATAAGCACCAAACTTCCTGAGCTGAGCGATGTACATGTCGAACAAGAAGTGCGTGATAGGGACAATGAACAGAAGGGTAAGAGCAAAGCGTACGCTGACATGCAGAGAAATTCGAGTTACTCAAAGGTACTTCCTGGAGACCAAGTACTAGTGCAACAAGAGAGGAAGAACAAGCTCACAACCTGTTTTGAACCAAGTCCGTACACTGTGGTAAACAAGTATAGGAACAGCCTGATTGTGCAATCTCCAGAAGGAGCCCAAAAGTCAAGCAAAACATCCGATGTAAAGAAACTGCTAGAGAATGATGATACACATGATACACCAAGTATACCGGAAGTGGTGATGACTGGAGAGCCCCACAAGCAGGATAAACCGACCCTGCAGCAGAGTGTGGTGATACCGGAATCAAATCTTGTTGAGCCTGGAGTTCCACTTAGGGGGTCCCAGAGACACAGAGTGGCACCAAGCTATCTCAAAGACTATTGTACTTTAACTCTAGAGACACTGAAATCTCAGAGACATTGTTGATAGTCTACGTTTATGTCTACTGGACCATATATTATTTCGTTTGTACTTCTGCTAAATGTTACTGTTTTCTATCTAAATGGGGAGGGATGTGGTGTATTAGGACCCAGATTCCCCCTCATTAATGCATGGAATGCCTGACTGTAGTGGTTAAGGACCACAAGTTGTGAAGGCGGAATAAAGCTAATCATTTACAGTTCAATCCATTGCAATCCTTTGTTATTTACCAACTAGATTGGTCACAACAACCATTAAGCGCGTTTGGCATCAAACATACACATTGACTATTCTAGGACAAACTACAGAAAGTTTTGTTTAAAAGTCAGGTGCCCAACTTTGCAAGGATTTGCCAAAAGATCATAAGAAAAAAAAAATCACATACAGTTGTACTGCTCCCACAAAGCAGCATCCCTTATGAGTGTGCAAATAGTTATGGGACCTTCAAATTTTCAGTTAATGCATTTCAATAGGTACTATTCCAAATGCAAGAAACTGCTTTTATTCAAATCAAGCATAGTACTGGTTTCTACTTTTTGTTAAGGAAATTTATACATTTTCACTATCAATTACAGTATTGTACAAAAAAACATTGACACTGTTAAAGTTCAAGAAGAAGTGACACTTTGTGCAATGAAACACGCCACACCAAGGAATAGAGAGAACTAAGCTAACAACTAAAACCTCAGTCTACTGGAGAGGCTTGTACCATTGGCACTGATCTCTTTGCTCTTGATGGCTCCAAATATCTCGTAGTTGCTGATCATTACTCAAAGAACCCCTTTGTCAGGAATATACTGAGTGGGCAAAGCAAGAGCAGCACAGTAGTCAAAATAATGAGGCAGCTTTTCAGCTAGCAATGCACCCCCGAAGTAGTAAGAACTGACGACGGACCGCATTTCAACAGCCAAGCCTTTCAAGAGTTTGCTCGGGACCTCAGTTTTAAGCACATTACAAGCTCCCCCCTCTACTCTCATAGCAATGGGTTTATCCAAAGCCAAGGCAAGTCAGTGAAGTCAGCCCTCCTAAAGTTGAAAATGACCAAATCAGACCCTGACATGTCGCTTCTTTGTCTCAGAGCTACCCCTGTTGACCACAAACTCCCCTCACCTTTTGAGGTGCTATTGGGGCACCCAATCCAAGACAACCTCTTAAGGAAGATTTCAAGGGACTCATCAAGTGAAGAAGTTATCTCCAGGCTGATCAAAAGACAGCAACTGCAGAAACACTACTACGATGGATCAGCAAAGCCACCCCCAGAACTTGCCCCAGGGCAAAGGATCACCATTCAAGATCCACCATTGCTGAAATGGAAATCGGCTGAGGTAAAGGAAAGACTAGTTGGAACTCCCCACTCATGTGCTGCAACGACTGCAACTGGCAGAGAGCTAAGGCACAACAGAGCCCACATAAGAGAAGCACATCAGGAAAACAGAGCAGTAGAACCTGACTGGAAAGAGCAGTCATCATCCAAAGATTCCTCTAAACCCTCTGAGGAATGAAACCATCACATTGCAGACACCTACCCAACTTGCAGTGGCAGGCTGATTAAACCCCCCGGAGAGACTGGATCAGTAGAAACTGAGTTAAGCCAAGCTGTGATTCTTAGGAACACTTTGAAACGGTCATAGTAGTCTTGTTGTGGTTAGTTATTGTAAGAGGAAAAAAACTGACATTGACTTAGATCATGTACCTTGAAGACACTGAATTAGGTTAATGCACGTCTAGACTATCATCCAGTTTGTCAAGCTTATAGGAAAGGAGGGATGTAACGATTCTATGGCAGTTTTGGCCATGATGCTTTGCGAAGCTAATGTTACTTTTTCCATTCAGCCATATTGCCGCTCAAAATAAAGTAAAGGCACACAGTTTGTAAGATACAACCCAGAATCTTTGCAAAAGCTACAACCTTTTCACTGATAGAATTTTGTGTAGGATGGGATGATTATTCAAACATAGTTTTTAGTACAAACTTAGATTTTCACCTTGCCATGCTTGACTGGCAAAACACCCCAACTGAAGGTATGAAGAGTTCACCAGCACAGCGAATGTTTGGCAAGTGCACCAAAATACTGCTGCCGACCTCAAACAAACTCCTGAAACCCCAGTTAGTCACATCTTCAACAGTCTAAGGAACCGTTCATGCCTAAAGATGCAGATGTTGAAATTCCAAGTCCAATTCCACCAACCAAAGCCAGCACAAAAACCATATCAGGAGCGAACAGTGCAGGACACCCAGCAGCACTGTCCTGAAAGCAACCAGAGCCAGGACCACCAGCTACCTGTCCAGCCACATTAGCTGAGGGTCAAAAGAGCAATGCAGTCACATGCAGTGGACACTCTATTTTCCCACCTGGCCACTTGAAATACTATGTTCAGACCTGGAACTTTTATGTTTGTTTGTTTTTTCTGCTAAGTTTATGCTGAACATTTATCGTATATTTTCTGAACATTTCAGTGGACATTTATGTGAACATTTTATTCTGACCATTCATTGTTTCACTCTTTTTTCTATAGTTCCACTTTTTCTTAAAAAAACAAAAAAGAAGGAAAGGTGTAATGTCATTTTGTCATGTGACTCAAGTTAGCCAATCATGTTAGTCTAACCTCGTGTTTTTTAGATATTCGCTTCGCTTGTAAGTTGTTCGGAGGTGATGAGTCTTCGCTCTATTAAATGTCAAGATTCCAACTTCCTTGTGATTGTTTATTTGACTGGAATCACAACAGAAACGTGTAACATCTTCAATACCGACAAAACTAGAACAATGCCATACCACCCATAGTTGGGCGTATGAACTGTACAATACAAGACATGCTGGCAAAATATGTTGCGGAGCACCAGTAAGACTGGGATGATCACCTGCCGATGGTTATGATGCGTACCAGTCCAGTGTTTATTTCTCTACCCAATATACACTGCATTACCTTTTGATTGGACACAAGGTACGACTACCCTTCGATGTTATGTATGGTCGTAAGCCTCATCAGCTGGAAGCAGCACTTGAGTACTTGAGGAACCTTAGATCCACCCTGGAAGAAGCCCAAGAGAAAGCTACAGAAACATGAAGACTGCCCAGAGAAAACAGAAAGACTACTACGATTGTCCCGTTGCTGGAGACAAGATAAAGGTTGGAGATCTTGTGTACCTTCATGTTCCTGTAATCAAGTCTGGACAGACAAAGAAGTTGCATTCCCCATGATGGCATGGTCCATATGTGGTAGTAAAGAAATCAGTGATGTAACCTATCCGATAGAAGAAGAAGAAGACAATCGAAGAAAATGGCGAGTAGTGCATTTCAATATTTGACTAAAGCTGTGTGGCGAGCCACAACCCGATAGACCAGCAACCTGATTAGCCTACTGGCCAGCCTTCCAGTTCACCACTGCAGAGACCTCATCTTCCCCGTCACTATGTTCTGGATGAGACTGATCTCATGTATGCAGAAGAGACCGCAGCTGACAGCAACAAGACTTTAGCAAGAGCTGAGGAAGAGGATTCCACAGAGGCAGAGGTGCCAGCTCCAGAACCAGTAACTGAAATAGTAACTCTTCCTGTCCTACACAGACCGAGAAGAGAAGTTCACGCTCCTGCTTCGATGAGAGACTTTCTTTCTTAATTTTTGAATGAACTTTGATTAATTTTCTTGATTTAGCTGCAATCAGAGTAAATATTTTGTTATAGCGCTTATACACTGGGTGATTTCAATTTTGCTTTAAATCCAGAAGTTTGCCTTCTGTTGCATGGCATGTAGACATTTCCCCTTTTCTTAGGGGGGGATAGTGTAGTAAAGGTAAAGAAAACGTGACACTTTGTGTAATGAAACATGACTCGTTAATTTTTAGTGAACAAATAGATCAGTTTAATACTTGCTTGATAGGAACTGGAAAAATGATCCCTATTGAGTAGGAAAGAGTGCAAAAATGTCTATCGCATAAACCAAATAGTTATAATTATGTGTTTTCCAATGAGAATAGTGTAAAAGCTAGACCCTTTTCACTAGTAGGATTTTTGTGTAGGATGAGATGACTATTCAAACAGCTGCTCAGGATTTATGAAAGTAATTTAGGTGTAACAACAACAGCTTTCCATCGAATAAGGGTGTTTACTAGAAAGGAAACCACATGCATTCCCTTCCATATTTACCCACGTATGATTTAGTTACCAACATGTATAAAAGCATCTTGATTTAGCAATAAACAATGAATACGATTAGCACTTGAGTGTGTGCAAGTCTCTGGGTGTGTTGAATGCCTGAAACTGGCCAGGTCTAGAGATAATCAAGCAGTTGACACTTTGGCCTCAAAATCAACTCCTGTTTGCAACAATACCAGTGATTTTCAAAACTGGCAAAAGAAGACTTCCCTGGTGGTGGTTCTAATCATATTATTATTAAAAATAAATAATTTACAGTTAAATGTTGTTGTACTTATAAATTAATTCTCATTTACTGAAATACTGCAACCTTTTTTTAAAATCCTACACAACCCAGGTTTTACAGAGCCAACACTACCTGACGTTTTTTCCTCAAACTTGGAATCACCAGCATCAACTGAGGAGCAAAAAGGAAGCTGAATTCCCTGACAAAAGGAAAGTTATCATTACATGGCAGCTGCAACACTAATATGCAAAAATAACAACAAAAAGAATAAAAATGTCCTAAAGGATTTGTTGAGTGCATGGTAGCATGTTTCATTTCTAATACTGGGGATGGAAAGCAAAACAGAGAAGGAAAACAGAGAGGGAAGGCCAAAAGTACACCTTTGATAATTTTTTTTACATTTTGTACCACATTCTGATGTACCCTATGACTGGCTTAATTTAACAATTTTGACAAAACATGAACATCCATAACCTTGACTGGAAATGTGATGTGACAGCAATAAGATCATACACTAGTTTTTCTTGTACAAAGGCTGAAGTGATGCACAACAACTAATATCCTGGATGGTATATGTGGAACATTATTTGCAAACATAAATAAATTGTTTTGAGGCAGAATCTTGTCAACAGAAAATAGGCCTTTGCAATCTTACCAGTTGTTGGCTTTCAAACAAGCTCCCGCTTACAGTTCTGTCCAGGAACAAAAAAATATTTACGTATCCTGGAAAGAGCAAACTGTCAACCACTGCATGCTTAATTGACAACTTCTCAAGACCAGAAAACGAGAAAAAAAGCCAAAACCTATGGTAGGATTACAAGTTGACAAATTGAGCAGAATAAGCCTTTTAATAACAAATCCCACAGGCATTCCCTCCTCTTTCCCTCTGTTCTGTCTCTTTTTCCTCCAATCTCCATCTCAAACCATTTTCCACTATCTGAACGGTTGGAACAGGCTAAGTACATAATTATCTACAGTCATCCACTTACTGTGCAAATTTTCTTGACCACTAGTTTTTGACCGGTGCTGTTAAGCCCTTCAACAGCAACAACCTAAAATAGAGATTGTTAACAGAGTATTGATTGGGTGATGTTTTTAAAATAATGAGAACTCAGGAAATGGTTAAAATGGCTGGTCAATTGAGGTCCATTTAAACACAAGATAATCTGCTTTTTACCTGGCCAGGAAAGAGTGCAAATTGTCGAATTTCAGAAAGATCTAACTTGACCCTAACACCTGACGATAGGTCTTGTGAACCTTCCAACAACACTGACTGTGCATTCAATTTTCCATTAGAATCACAGCAAATCCGGCCAATGACTGACACTTCTTCCTTCATGGCAAATAATAGAAATGTAGAAAAGACGATCAAACATAGTAACTGACAAAAAATCTTCAACATTATGTTTAAATTAATGAGACCTTTGAAAACCTCAGCATTCAGTGAAGCACGTGAAATATTGGTAAAATATTATCTAGGCTTTTATTCTAACCTGAGAGGGCACACATAAGCTTGAAAACTCCTCCACTCCTAAGCTTTCATGCAGTTTTTCTGCCATATCATCAATGAGGTCACTTAGCACTACAAAATAGTACAATTGAAAAATGAGTCAGGAATAATAGTCAAAAGGTTCAAGACGAATTCATTGAGAATTTTTTTAAATGGCTGCCTTGTTGGCTCAATTGTATAAACCATGGTCCACAAATGGGAGACTGCAAGTCCAAATGATGGCTGTACAACAATCACTGGGTCTTTAAATAACTGAGGATTAAGTGCTGCCTTTGTTTGCAAATGGTTAACTTTTCTTACCGGTATTCCCAATAAGGAAGATAATTCACCACCCTTGCTCACACAAAAATTCTGTGGCACATTTGAGAAGTTACACACTATTTATAAACGGAAGGGGGAAGTAGTCCCCAATGTGGAAGTTAATCTCAAATTTATTTTTAAAGTAGTAATAATCAAAGGTTACTGAGTGCTGGAGACAACGATCAAAGGTCAAAACGCTTTTGCTCTAATGCTGTGCTTTGCGTAGGTTTTACATGACAGATGGTCAAAACATGCATGATCAGATTATGACGGGTAGAAGGTCAAAACGCGCATGATTAAATTGTGTTCTGTGCATTCCACTCGTTTTTAGTGGAAGTCCAACAAATGCTGGCTACATACATGTGACGCATGTATAATAACAACCTGGAGATCAGGATTGTGGGCTCCTTTTTTCGCCCACAATTAGGGGGCGTTCAAAACTTATGACTTCATTAAAATGTGTACCGCACGACAAGCCGTCTGGCAAAAGTCCCCTTACCAGCGGAAAAGCCCTTAGGAGAGTGTATATATTTATGACATATTTGCAAAGATGCATGAAATGCCAAAATTAATAAAACTGGCATTAATATTCCTCATTTTAGAAATCACAAATTTGTGGTTCCAGAAAATATCCATAGTTACCCCATGGAAGGTCATTAACTCTTTTCTTATTAAGTCTAGCAATGAACTCTAGAGTCTGGTGATTTCATGCCATTTTCATCACAAGCAACTGAAGAATTACCTAATTCTCACTTAATTTCATGAAAAATCATGAGCCATACTTTGTGAACTTCAGGGAAAGATAGAATTGGAGTGCATTTAATTTTCAAATTTTTCTATTCTAAAATTATGTAAAGGTAACTCTGACCTCAGAACAGTAACAACAGAACTCATAATTTTATTGCCCCCACAGGGTTCCGGCCCAGAGGCCGGAACCCGAGGAGGCACCCTAATGTCCCCCGAGTAAAGAAGAAGTATTGTATCGTCTTACTGTTAGTATGCGAAACTTTCCCGATTTGATGAAACTAGGCGCGCACGGTGGTCCCGGTTAATTTTCAGCATGT